GGTATGGAATATAGGTATGTATATTTTATAAAGTATTAATCGAAGTGATTTTCAATGCTGTGTTTTTAATGCTTTTCGGTATGTAAACCGGTAGCACAATTTAATGGTTTTAGCTGCCTACATAAAGGAGTTATATCGCAAAAACTTGCATCTGAACTATCAGTGGTATAGGAGATGAAGTTTATACAGCACCGATCTTGATTATTTTCTCAGTAGATTTTGTGTGATTATTTAGAAAATAGCTCACGAAATTTCTCGGTTTTAGCTGCCTACATAAAGGAGTTATATCGCAAAAACTTGCATCTGAACTATCAGTGGTATAGGAGATGAAGTTTATACAGCACCGATCTTGATTATTTTCTCAGTAGATTTTGTGTGATTATTTAGAAAATAGCTCACGAAATTTCTCGGTTTTAGCTGCCTAAGTAAAAGAGGTTTAAAGTAAAACCCTATATCCGAGCAATGAGTTGTATGGAGGCTATAGATTATAGTGACCCGATCTTAGTCATTTTTAATGTAAGTATTCTGTTGATAATGGGTGAAAATAGTGCCGAGTTATAACGAAAGATCTCATATCTGAACAATCAGTTGTATGGGAGCTATATGTTATAGTGGTCCGATTTTTCCGGTTCCGACAAATTATAAATACATTATAAAACTACATTCACCAAATTTCAGTCGGATATCTCGAAAACTGAGAGACTAGATAACATACAAACAGACGGACAGACAGACTTGGCTAAATCGACTCAGCTCCATGTTCTGATCATAAACATAGGAATACATTTTCATGGTTCTATCTCTTCTTATTCTGGTACTTACAAACATCTGACCAAAGTTATGATACCATTTCATGCTCATGAAAGCTATAATCAGATTTCAAATCGGTGAAGTAGGTGATAAAATATAAATTTAAACATTTTCTTAACTACTTTCCAGCGTATCTATATATCGTTTATCGGTTTAATAATATAGAGATGTAACTCAAAATTTACTTTTTTGCTGATTTAATTATGCAATTCATAAGCTTGATAAGTAAAATACGTTCAGTCTAATAGATAGCCAAACTTCCTAAATATGGCGAAGATATGTGTCTTTCCATCTGTCTTTTTATATACCAACTGTATGAATTGATAAAACTTTGATTGCGTTTTCCCACAAAATGGAAATTTTGAAATACTTCGTTATCATCATCATCAATTATATAAATAGGCAATCATGTTTCCTTTACACCCCTTTTACGGCTAAACTGTACTTCTAAGGTATAAACAATTATATATCATTAGAAAGGTATTTTGATGCTGATGTGCAGGCAATTT